AAATAAATTCAGTCATGTATGTAAAGAGGGACCCATGTACAAACTGATGGGCTAAATATCTAAGGAATTATAGTCAATGTACAGAACTGAGAACACAAAGAGTAAATGTATATTTTTTCCAGAATTAGAAATTTTTAGGTCGGAGTTTTGTTGCTGGAGAGTCCTCTGGATTCTTCTAAAACAGTGATCCTTACTGGAGCAGGTTAAAGCAAGGCAGGATCACCTGATCACTTTTACCTGCAATATAAAAGCTCCTGTTACAGGAGCTTTTAAAAATCTCTTGTGGGGTTCCATATACATATGCCCTCCTCTGACTTTTACCCCGGTTCTGATATACTACTGGAGGGCTTCTTTCTTCCTCAACCCCATCCTCAACCTCTGTCTTACCAGTCCAACCCCCAGTTTTTAAACAAATTTGAGAACTTGCAGAAATTCGTAACAACTAACCATCTAACTGGTTCACCCTGCCACTCCTGAAAGATATCATAGTATTGTGTGGGCTGAGGAAGCTCTCTACACTCCATTCCCAAAGCATTCCAGAAACTCTAGAAGAGAGGTAGCAAAATAAAGGAATCTGCACTTGTGGGCTCCTTCTTCCGCTCTTGTGGCATGTGTACAGAGTTCTGAGATCTGGATATGAGATTTGTGTTGAAAGTAGTGACAGGAATAGAAACTGGGGCTTCATGGACAATTCTTGATTTTGGTAGTAACCCTTGAAAAATAAACAATTAATAATTCAGGTGATTGTTTTTTGTTTTAGTTTTTGTTTTTTTGGTGGTGCTAGGAATTGAACCCAGGGCCTTGTGCAAACATTCTACCAATTGAGCTATATTCCTAGCCCAGTAATTCAGTTTTCTCCTCTACCAATAAAGTAAGTTTTACTTTATATCAGAAAAAAATTCTCAAATATTTACAAACAAATAATTGGCATCCATAGTCATGGATATCCCTGATTATTTTCATAGTGGAAAATTTGTAGACTTCTGAAACTGAAAGAGTGTAGAGCTTTAATTGCTTTATAAACTGTTTGATTCAGAACCCACCTACTTGCCCTTGGCAGTAGGAAAAGTTGATCAGTTGAATGAGTCCCACAGTGACTAAGAAGTTTGAGAACAGGGAGAAAAAAAATTTTATTATTGTTTTTGCTCTGCTGGAGATTGAACTCAGGGCTTTACATATTCTTGTCAAGTACCCTCACACTGATCTATACTAACCTAGCTCAATTCTGTGGGTTTTGACAGTGTCTAATGATGTGTGTCCACCATTATAATATCATACTGAATAATGTCACTGCCCTAGAATTTTTCTGTGTTCTGCTAGTTTATTGATCTTTTTACTGGTTCCATAGTTTTGCCCTTTCCAGAGTGTCATAAAGTTGGAATGAGGGGGTGGCTGGGGTTATGGTTCGGAGGTAGAACACTTGCCTAGCATGCCTGAGATACTGGGTTTGATCCTCAGCACCACATAAAATTATATATATATAT